AATGTTTCAGACGATAAAGTGCTCGGCTCGAGCGCCGATGCTGATAAACTAATTATTTTTCATGTGTTAGGGTTAGCAACAAAATCGGAAACGGGTATATTTCGATAGTATATGTTCCAAGGAACATTTTGATACCAAAAACTTGCGAGTAACAAATTCTATACATGTAAATTTTGGTCATAACGTTGCGACGCGCGACAATGCAGTTTTGATTATTTATCGGAATTTGTTTAACAATGTGATTTTTTCGATATTTCTTTGCACTATCCTAGAGCAACAAAAAAGCAACAAAATCTGGTGCCTTTGTTTTTTTGATATCGCAGCTCTATATCCATTTTTTCATTATGGGGGGGTCCAGCTTTATATTAACCTGGACCCCCCCATTTTTTTTTTATTGCTGCTAAACGGTTGGAGCAACAAAATTCGCTCTAGAGCAACTAATTAGCAACAAAAGAGCACTAAATTTTTGACCTATCGCGAAGTTGATTTTCGATGGTGGGGGGTCCAGGTTAATGGGGGTGAAATTTCCATAGCCTGTTATTAGTGTGAAATGAGTAATCTCAACATAGGCGATCTACTTTCTGATATTAATCAGTAATTATTCAGCAGTATACAAATAAACATCATAGAGTTTTGTTATTACAATTAACAATTTACCTCAGTAATAAATAATCTAACGTTACCTTTTTATTGTTACTTAATATTCTAATACTTACTGGAAAACGATGATTTGCACAATAATAACAGTTTAATTCTCAACACTGTCAAAAATGTTTGCAAAAAATGACGAAAAATAAAGATCTCAAAGACTACCAACATGTAATTGTCATGTATGTGTATGTCATGTATGTCACACATTATATATATATTTACAGTATTTACTAAAATTTAACAATAAAACGAATAAAATACTATTGACTATCTAAAAATAAGTTACCTCTCTTATCCTAAAAACACGATTGTGTTTAACTTAAAATAAACAATACACAATTTTTGTAATTTTTTTTACAACTTACAATGTAAAAACAATAGAAAAAAAAACTCACGTATTTTCCTTTTGGTCGCCGTTGGCAGAGTGCGACGGGGACGGCTGGGTCTGCTGTTTGGAGTAGGGATGGTGATGCACCACGTTGTTGTTATTATTGTTGTTATTATGCATGTGCACCTTGTTGGCGTTGCTGTCGGTAGGAGAGCCCGGCGAGATTTTACCCGCCAGAGCGTTTAACGACTGTAACATTTTCATGGGAGTCCGTTTGGCGACCGGGTGACGGTGCCTCCTTCGCTCGGTTTCGTTTATCCTTGAGGAAGACAGGATTATTGTACGCTTGCGGTTTGAAGGCGTCAACCCTCAAACTCTACAGTACGTGCACGAACAAGCTACTTCTAGGGTCTCGGGCGAACTACGAACAGCACAGGACACTCTCGATTCACGAATCACGTTCGCGCTCAGAAACGAATTGAAATCTTAGCACGAGGAGCACACACTCATCACGTGGATTAAGCACACCAACAACACGAAAGCACGCGGAAAGACTAGTCCCGTTGAAGTCTTGTTCAATTCGTACGAGCGGTGACTGATAGCGATCGATATCCAACCTTTCGTTTCGTATACTTTAGAATCCTCCAGACGGATATTGGAGCGTCTTTTGAGATCCGTTGCAACACGATCCAGCTGTGGGTGCGAATACGAAACCCTGTGGACAAGTATCGATGACTGATAAGAATTATATCTACATTCATGGATAATTGTAAGTGATTATATGTATTATCAAAGTACGCGTCATTAAATTTAATCAACGATTTTATACCGCAAGTTTGCTTTCAATTTAAGATTCTTCCCGACTGACACAATACGTGCAATGTTACTAATACGGACTGATTGTTACAATAATAATTAAAAATATAATTAAATCATATCATGCATTTATTTTTGTTTTCACTTAATGTATTTTATTATAACTCGCTAGATGAATTGCAAGCTTTGAATTAATCAAGTAATATTGTGATCATTAGAATCTGGAAACTTTGGATTCAATTACAACTTAATACAAGCATTCGGAATATCGGAAATAAATTGGAATAAAAGACGAAATTCGCTGGATATATTGTAAACTCTGCGACAAACTAAAGAAAGTAGAAAAACAAATTCAACGAGCGTTCTTGCGTAATATGTAGACATATTAAGAAAGAATTAACTTAGATTAATGTGTACATTTGTATACACCATTTTGTTTATATTTTAATTTTATATACTGAAGATGGCCTAATTTAAGGCCGAATGTCTATCAATTTTGTAACTCAATTTTATGTATTGACTTTAAGATAAATTTCGCTAAAAAAAACATCGAGCGTTCGTGGTATATCCCTTTATCTTTCCGTTCTTAATGTATTTTAATTCTGGTCATTATTTTTAAAGTATTTAGAGATCGAATTAAAATTAATTTTTGATGGAACACATATAACATTATTTTTTTATGCAAGTTACCAAAAAATTCATGATCCATTTATTCCCATAATATCTGCTTCTTAGTTTAAGCTAACCAAATTTAATCAATGGTATGTAGGTACAAAAAGTTTTATAATTATATTCAAATATTTCAAAATAAAAATATATTCAAATATACTAAAAAAAAAGAAGCAGAAATATACTTTCCTTTATTCATTAACTAAAATTCAATTGAAATTTTGCTTTATTAAACTACTGAATGTGACATATATAAATGTTAGAAATATAATAATATAACTCATATAACACTTATTAGAATAATGCAACACGTCTGTTAATGAATATAACGTTCATAACAGAGTAAAAACTTCTGTCGATGAATATAGTATGTTCAGCTACTTTTCTTAATAAGATCTTGGCATATTATCGACAGCAAACTTCGGCATTGTGATCCATTCATGCGGGACGTAAAACATGTTAAGACGAGGGAAACGCGGAGACAAACGTCGAACTAGAGAACACGGGACGACACCGTGGAGAAAAACTGGCTAAGCGGGCGCGTGCGTTGTAAACTGCTTTACAACGAGTCAATTAAAAGTTTAAGTTTAATTAGAAACTCGAGTCATGTGCGGTGCGCAAGCGAGGATGGGAGAGGAGGCTGATTTCGTTGCCCGTTCACCGCCCAGTTTTCGTCTTTCTCCTCTTTCTGTCTCTCACTTTCTCGCCTTTCCCATCTGCGTAACTCCCGAGTCCCAAATTACCGGTCCACGAACTCTCTTTTGTTTCGCGCGCGTCTTACACGGGTCAAGTCTTAAAAGCTCGGCGCGCGGAAGAACGAAGAGAGGGCGTGCAATAGGAAGAAACTGATGGAGCTTCAGCGGAACGATACGACGGCAGAATTCGTCGCCTGAGAATTCGAATTAGTTTCCGACTTGGCGCGAAGGAGCATTTGCCGATTTCCCGTTGCAATCTAGAATGAAACTCTATGGACGGAAACGTCTCCAACTTTGGCAAAATCAAAGCGGGAAAATTATAAAGCGGAAAGATAGATGGGATTTAAAATCTTTAAATGTGTTAAATATCAAGAGCGTGTGTTTTATATTTTGCACAGACTATATATCGTATAATTACTTTGACTACTCCATTTATAAATGATATTCGTAACTTTAATATAATTGAAAAGAAAGATATCAAATTTAATTTAAAACACACACACACACACACACACATAGAAAATAAAAATTATACTTTATTTATTATTTATACATATATAAATTAAAGATTATATAAATTTAAGATAAACAAAATTCGTTCTAAATGTATCGACTGTGTCTAACTTATTAATAGAAAAGATTATTTGCGGCTTTCTAGGATTTTATAAAAATAGATAATCAAATTTTTTTATTTTAATTGGGGCACTATATTTGCTGTGTTTTCTAGTTAAAATTTAATTAAAATTGATCTCTCAATCTCTAGCACGCAAAATCATGCAGAGATACGAAAGGAGAATCGCTATACATATAATATAAATTCGCAACTTTTCTCAATCTATTAATCGTTTTAAATTCAACAATGCGGGCGATTCAGTGAGAACGTTTGTACGGTATTAATCATTAATTGTGAGATCAAAAATAGATTTACCATCGGTTAAATAGGCGAACTGAAAAAAGATTCAGAGTTAAAGTAATTTAAAGTAAAGATTCGTCGGTTTTACTAGGTTTGTTCTTATAAAACCAAGAGAGAATTGAATAGGTACTTGCGAACCTGCCACTACGCAACGCGGAAGGAAGAAAAGTCGAGTCGACGCGACGGGTGTAAGAACTCACGGTGAAGAGATTTTAGCTTCTTGCGGATTACATTTGAAGGTCCGTCGAGGGCAAAAAGACGAGGACGCAGAAATACGCTAGTTTGAAGGCAGAAGGTGAGGACGAAGTGGAGTAGTAAATTCGTGGTGACGGGGGATATAATTACCGGAACTACAGCGGTTGTCGAATGTCAAAGAGATCACACATAATTTAACACATGAGGCGGAAGCTGTACAAAGAGCATGATGCGGTGGGCGGAGAAGATAGGGAAAATAGAGGCGAAACGGAGCACCGTTCGCGGCTTGCGCCGTAAGCGACAGCGAAAAAGTGAAGAGAAAAGGAAAAAAATGACAGCATGGAAGGAGAGCGGAGGATAGAGAAACCGTATCTTGATATGCTACACCTAAGCCTTTTGTCCTGTACACATTTTTGCCTCTCTCCAGTCCTCTACTCAACTTTCCCCTCACTTCTTCTCGCCCATACTCTTCCACACCTTCAATGTACGTCGACGTTCTTTGTCGTCGCCCACTTAACGCGCTAAAGCGTCAAATTAAAAACTCTAGGCACCCTGGAAAACAACGATTAATCGCTCTCACGGCAGTGATTGCCCATTATCGTTCTTGCTCGTCGTTGTGACTTTATACCGCGTTTCCCTCGGTTTTTCTCCCACTGTGATCGACTTCCTGTACCTTGTGGACTCACGCGATACCACTGGACACCTGGCCCGGAAGCAACACTTTCAAGATACCTCTTTGGAGCTACAGAATGATGCGCGAATCGCGAAATTACTGTGACCTGAGCGGCGCGACGATCTCGTCGACGGCACCTGAGTACTACGACTGACGACTCGACGAGCGCAGTTGCCAACCATCGTATCTCCGGATAAGCTTTATCGGTAACCAAAGACCCCACCCTTCGTCTGTGGGACGCATCCCTCGTGTGCCTTTTTTTACAGCACTCGCGTATTTTTCTGCCACGTCGACAACAAATTTCACATTTGCAATCTTTTCGCTTATGTTGTTCGCGTTTATTTTTTCTTATTTATTACGATGCACCCGAATCCACCTACGTCAGACACTATTAGACGTTGGATACGTGGCTTGAATCACCAGCTTATCCCGGATCGTCGACGTAGTGGTCTCTGGAGTGGCATGTAATCGTTCATGCGCGATCCAGACGCGTCATGACGACGCTTGGCTTGTTTTGGATAGATGGATCGCGTTAAGGAACACGTTTCTCACGGAGTCCCACAATGATGATCATTTCTCTTCCGCGATATCACTTATGATCCATGGAGAATGTGGAGTTGCGTCGATTTTACGACGTCGCCATGTCAATCGTCATCTGCAAAGAATGTTCACCACAGTTAAGAATATTACTTTCCTGTTTTAATCAAACGTCGTTGAAGTCGTCTGTGTTTGAAAATCGTAAAGTAGATATAACTTTCGTATCTCAATTAAATTAAGATCATTAAAAATAAAAAATATATTTTCATCAATAGTATATAAAATTTGTTGAGATTTTATTTCCTAAATATCCACAAAAAATGAAAAATTAAAAAAGAATTTTTCAAAAAAAGATAGAGCTAACAGAGAAAGGTCCGCTGATTTGAGAATAAATCAAATTCGGAAGAGAGAGAAAAAAACAAGAATTCAACCCAATTAACACTTCTATGTATAATTGTACATACGTAAATTGTAAATTGCCGAAGCGAGATCGGATGAGTGGTCCTAAAATGTCTAACAGCGTGTGTTAAGAGCAAAAGAATGTTCGTCAATATTTTCTCACTACCAAGCCAAAGCGATGAAGCAGACACCGACCGGCATTCTTAGAGATTAGATAAGACGTGGAACGCTTCACTACAGTGACTTGCATAACGACACGGCGACGTGATTGCCTTGTGAAGACGGTGCCATCGAGTAAAGCAGCGCAGTGCATTCGTGGGTGCAACGGCACGAGAAATATTTGACGTTTATTGTATAAGTAAGTGTCCGACAATATGCGCGTCAAACCGCTTAAAGCAGCAGAAATATTCAGTGAACGTACAGCCTTACATAACCGTTGCCATAAATTATAACATTAGTACTTTGACGATCAACCAAGTGACACTCGTTACGTGTCTTTCAAATTAAACTTCCGTAATCCAAGCAGCATAAGACTTTAAAACATTGTCCGAAGTTATCGCGCAATATTATATATATGCGTCATATCGTCATATGGAATAACATTTGACTGATAAGTATAACAATGTTACGGCTCCATTGGATTATATTGCGTAATACACAAGCATCGATAATAAAATTGCGAATATTTTTACATCCTAAATTATAGTTATAGGTACAAAATATGAAACGTAATAATCTTTTTAATATTGATTTCTTGAAAAAATTTAAACAATTGTACAATGAAGAATTTTCCGGTTCAATCTATTATAATTCTAGTT